CGCCGATCCCTTTGGAATACGAATGTGCTCGCTGCACGCATTGTCCACGGCCCGGGAGACAAACCGCGTCGTAATTAGGAGAAGTGTGACCACATGTATGTAAGAACAAATACGCGAAAAGAAAAGAAAGGGCATGTTCATGGACAGCACTCACATTAGGGAAGGAAGCTGTCCGCGGTACAGCTGAAGTCAATGGTGAAAAGTGAAAGAAAGGGCGTAAGTCCTCGAATTGGACTAACGCCCTTTTAACTAATTTTTACGAGTGAAATGCAGAAGACAACAGGGGAAACGGAAGTAAACATGTTCAAGTATCGTGATTTCCGTTTTTTGGGTTCCCCGTCTTCTTCTTTTCAGTTTTACAGAAATGCTGTATTCAAGAAATGAAGCTGGGAGTAGTATGCGGTAGTATCAGCGCACGCGTATTTCACCCACGAGCGAGGCCATCATGTGACTGTCCACGGATCATTAGGTTTGGGGCGACATTCCTCTGGGTGACTGACCCCGCGGGGCCAGAAACCCTCCTTACCGCCGTCCGCGTGTACTACTATGTCGCGAACACGACGGCATCATATTTTCACAAAATAACACCACCCCGAGCCACCCTGTGCAGCAAACTAGCCCAAAATAACGGCCCGTGGCCCGCCCAGACTGCCGGCCTCTCTCATGCATTGCAAGTCCCACCACATTGCAAAAACTACCCCCTCCACAACGCTAAACGTGTATGTACTCCACTCGGGAATCGATTAAAGTCTGGGCGTGCACTGTCAACCTCCTCTTAAATGGCATGAAGGGACCGGACAGAACAGATGTGTGGCGCAGTCGTACCTCAGGGAAACAGACTTGTTTTCCTGTTGTTGCGCTCCTGCAAGAGCTGCATGTATGTTGCTGCTCGCTCAACATATTTCACATTTCAGCCTCTTGTTATTGCCACACGAGTCCGTATGTTGCAAAGGAGAGGGAAAAGCAGCTGGGGGAGAAGGGGCCTATATTTCCGACCAAGAGGTGAGAAGACTTCTTAATTCTAAATGCAGGACGTCAACACCAGAATAAATATTGTTCACAATTTTCTGAATGCCAAACTTTTGCGATACGCCGACAACATCGCCGACACCACTGCTGTTAGTGGCATTATTCTGAGAGCCTCCAGCATGTTTAACCGGGAGGTGTAAGAAGAAACCGTAGGAAATATCTCACTTTTGACCAATTCCCTATGAACTTATAAATGGGTGCGCAAGGTGAATGTGTATGTTTGAGACTCTTCTTGATCTTGCTTAGCCAAAAGAAGTGGAAAGAGAGAGAGGGGGAGGGAAGGGGAGTGGAAAAGAAGTGGAGAGAGGAAGAGAGAGAAAGGGAGAAGGACTGAAAGTGTGTGAGAGAGAAACGGAGAGAGAGAGGTGAGCGTGAAGAGGGGGAGGGCTGGGAGAGGCGAGCGACTAGAATAGCACGGAGAGCGAACCACGAGGGGCAGGGTGCGCCACACCGTGGAGGGAGGTGCCGCCTAAACAGCTGACTGGCCATAACAGCCCCAAAAGCACCCTGTAGATCCTTCGTGCACACACACTAGTCATAACCAAGTTCAAAATTCCGCAAGGAAAAAAATAAAAAACAACAGTTCGTCGATAATTGGTTGCGTGGGAAGTTTATGTTGAAAACCCTCCGAAAAGCTGCGCAAAATTGTTTTGTTAACACAGGCCCACTCAACCTCGAAGCCCTCCTTTTTACATCACATCCAGGCAGGTGCGGTTTTAGTTCCTGCTGACTGGGGAAGTTCCGCGAATCGCCTCCACACAGGGATTTTGGTACAGTGAACTGCTTTCCTCCCAGGTGGCTTCTTGGGGCTGACCATAAAACTGCGCCTGACATCCGGTCGTGGTTGCCATGTTTGCCAGTGCGGGCAATAATGAGAGTTGCTCGTTTCCCATATGACTCTACACACACCACTGCAGATCCCGGTGCTTAAATTTAGCCCCCTCCGATACAAACGTGCGCCGGCCTGGCCTACATTTCGTACGCGCCAAGGCCACACCCATGTATCTGGATATGTCAACACACGGGGTCCCGTCAAGCCCGTCTGCCGGCCGCGCCCCGACAGACACTCGGGGCTGGGGATTAGGCTAGCATGGCCCTGCCCAGGTGGTTGGCATGCAACACCACCGTTATGTCCCCCGCGTATTCCACCTCCCCTTACCCCGGAAAAAGAAACCCGGATTCACGATGCACGAGATGGGGTGTAAGAGAAAAGGATCGAGCGCCGTATGGGGAACACGTGCCGAGTCCGGTTGAAAATACAGTTTGCACTTACCTTCCAATTTCTCTTGGCGGCGTCCTCTTTGGCCGCGGCTTCCTTTAGGCTGTGCGGCGGGGAGGTGTGGACGCCGGACCTCCTGAAGGCCTCCATGTCGGCGCGCAGGGCAATGCCCTCAAGCTGCGAGGGGCTGGACGTGGTCCGCTGGTGACACACCGGCAGGCCGCCGCTGCCCGGCCCCGCGCCGCACCCGCCGCCCACCCCCGGGTGCAGCGACGCGAAGGGCAGGTCCACGGCCGACACCTTCCTTTTAGGGGCGCCGCCGGGGGCAGCCGCCAACGGGGACGGCAGGGCGGTGGCGCGCAGCTGCGAGTCGTCCATGGAATGGCCGCCGGCGCCCTGGTGCCTGCTCCTGGGGGCAGCCGCCTGACGCTGCTCCCCTGAGGACACGGACCGCGTCAGCTCCGCGGAACCCGACGCTGTAGGCGGCGACGACGAGGACACGACCAGAGATTGCGAGGACCCCTGCTTGGTGGGGAAAGCCTCGAGGAACTTGAGGTCCTCCGTGTACTGCGACAGCTTTCGGTTGGCGTCCGGCTTTTTCATCTCCGCCTCGAGCATCTGCCCGTAAGGGCCGCGGAGCGGGCGCTTCGAGTAGCGCCGCGGGGTGTGGGGGCTGCGCGACCCGGAGCCCCCGGGCTGCGTGGGTGCGGCGGAGCCACCGCGGCCCTCCGAGTCGGACAGATCGAGGTGCGAGTACAGCGACGGCGACGCCCTGCTCGGTGTGCTCGGCCTGCGGTCGCCCTGGTCGCTCTCGCCCTCGGACAGCGAGTCGGACCTGCCGATCATCGGGAACCTTGGGCGCGACGGGGTCGCCGAGCCTGCCGAGCTCTCGTCATCGCGCTCGTCCGAGCTCTGGCAGATGAGCTTGGGCCGCTCCAGCCACCGCCGTGGCTCGTCTTTGGGGCGCCGCCGCCGCAGCTCGTCCATGTCCTGGTGCGACGGTGGAGCCCTAGACGTAGCGTCCTTCATGTCGTCCGGTAGCGAGATCCTGGGCGGTTCTACGGTACTAACCGCGCCCCCACTGCCTCTCTCCGGCTCGTCGGTGGACTTGGTGCGGTGAAATGGCACCACTGACGGGTCCAGCACCAGTGGCGCGCTCGCGGCCGGCTTGGCGTCCTCTTTTAGGGTTTCCTTGGGCTCAGACTTGGATCGCTCGAAGGAGTGCTTGGTCTTGCTGGGGGACGCCGTGGGTGGGGCCCACTTGCGCAGCAGCAGGTCACTGTGTCGGCTGAATAGCTCCTTCTCGTGCGGCTCCAACTCCAGGTCCTCCATGTGGAAACTCGCCTTGAGTTTTTGCAGGATGGACGGACCCGTCTCCATCTGCTCCAGACACTTGGGGCACGTTGACGGGTCGAAGTTATTGATGCAGCGGTCGTCATGCTCGAGCACGGCACCCACCGTCTGGTTTGCTTGATCTGCGAGATGCTGCTCCGTCTTTTCTTTGGTGTCATCGTGCTGCAACTGGGGTTCGCCGCTGTCAGCCGTTACCTGCTTTGACTGTTTCTCAGGTATGTGAGGGTGCTCGCCAAACTCGGCGTCAATTTGCTCTCGCCACTCGTGGTGGTCACCTACGTCTTCTCCGTTCTGAAGCAGGACACTCTCGTTCATCCACTTTTCGTACTCCTTGTAGTTGGGAAACTGTCTGACAAAAACCTCGTACGACACGGGATTATCGAGTGGCTTGATGTCTCCCTGTTCAGTCGGCGGTGGAAGTAGAGGAGTTGGTGTCGGTGTCGGCGATGGGCTCAGATTGCCTTCAGTCTGGTCCCCGCGGTCTTCTGAGGCCACTGACGGGGAGGTCGCCGGCGCCTCTACATCCGACAGACTGGAGGTGCTGTTCGTGAGCCTGTTGGTGTCCACGGCCAGAGTATGCGACAGAACATCGTCACCTTCCTGGACAAGGTGACGCAGTCCGTCCACGGACAGAAATGCGCCGCCATCGTGCGGTCTAGTCTCAATCCTGGCCTGTCTGCTCGCCAGCGGGTGCGTCATGGACCTCGTCGAGCCCGGCACCTTGGCGGTGACCACGGGAGAGTCGAAGCAGCAGCCCTCGTCAGAGCCGACAGCCGAGTCCACAGCAGACTCCACGGCCGAGTCCACGGACGGCGTAGAGCCGTGGCTCTCGTTGGGCTCCACGACGATCAAGTGGGCGGTCGGAGTGGGCGAAGGATGACTGCTCAGCTCATCGGTCCTCTTACGCGGCAGCGTCGCCGCCGCCGACAGCGGCTTGAGCCACGTGGCCCGCGGCGAGTGCCGAAAGTACTTGCCGTCCGAGAAGTCGACTTGCGAGAAGGAGGCGCTCCGGAACGGGATGGTGCGCTGGATGTAAGAGCCCACGATGGCTCGCGACTCGGGGCGCGCGAGGCGCAAGTCGAACAGGTCGGCGTCTTCTGGACTGTCTGGCGCCGCGGCCGCGGCTAGCGTCTGCGGCGCACTGGCCGCGCCGGGCGTCGGGCTGGGGCTGGGGGAGGGGGAGGGGGAAGGGGGCGCGGCCGCACGCTGCTCAGACCCCCCAGAGCCGCCCTTGAGCCTCTCCGTCAGCTCGCGGAGTCTCTCCGTCTTGTCGCTGGTGCGGGTCCGGCCGTTGCCGCGCGCCGCGCCCCCGGGAGCGCCCTGGCCCTGCGCGCCCTCCTGCTTGTCACCCACGCGCCCGCCGAAGCGAAACTTGTTGAACCTGTCCATGTGGCCGGCGGGGAGCGGCGCGTCGGCAGAGCACAGCCGGGAGGGGATGTCGGGCTTGGTGCGCACCAGGATGCGGCGCCTGAGCGGCGCGGACGCGAGAGGCGGCAGCGGGGGTAGCAGCTCCTTGCGCAGGCGGGGAGGGGCGGCGGACGCCTCCAGCAGCATCCTCCTCACGACTCCATCCTCGTTGTCATCCGGGACACTGCGTTCAACCACCACGCCGCCGCCGTCCACAGCGGCCGAGGCGGTGGAGACCATCTCCCTGCCCGAGCCCGTCCATGGCGGGTCGAGCGGCGCGCCGCGGTGTACTGCGGCGTCCTCGCGCCCCGAGCCCTGGCTCCCTTGGCCCACCGGGCCCGCGGCCGCGGGTCCACGGCTGGGCGTACGGGGCGGTTGCAGCCGCGGGTGCAGCGGCGGCGGCGGCAGTGTGCGGGGCGGCTCGCCAGCGGCGACGGCCGGCTCGGGTCCGTGGCTAAAGATACCGTGCGTATTCATAGCCCTGGCGACGGGCGGTGGTGGGGCCGGCGGGGCTGCCGGGGCCGGCGGGGCCCTCGCCCAGGGCAGCGCCACGGCGCCACAGCAGCAGTTGCTCTCGGCGCTATCCCCGTCCCAGGGCGGCGAGTCCCGCAGCGGCCGGTGCTGGCCGTCGAGCTTGTCGTCCCAGTCGACAGAGGGCGCCACGTCGCGGCGGCACCGCGCGGGCACCGGGGGCGGCGGCTGGGCGCGCTGCTGCAAGCACCTGCGCGGCAGACGACAGGGCGTTAGATCAGGCCTACTCCTCGCTTCGAGGGGCACACACGGGCCGGGGCCGAGCGGGGCCGAGGGCTGTGTACCGGGGTGTGGCTGTGACCCGCTGTGACGGCGGAACATGTCCACACCATTTCATGTACCAGATGGCTCACAATCCCCGCCCACGTCCAGTTATATGCCGTGCCTCGTGGGCGCTCGCCCAGTAAATGTTACTCTGAGTGTGGCCGCGGGGAACTCAGTGGTGGGGGAAGGGTTGTTTTAGAGGTATCCCCGTACAGCTAGCTCGGCTGCTAGGAGCCGGGCGAGACACCTCTCTGCCAAATACTTGCCCCAACACTTAGTTAGCCGAAGTCCATGTCTCCGTGTAAGCGAATAACATGTGGCCAGCGAAGAGATCTCTGGCCATTCTAGAGCCTCCCTCAACCCAACCATCGGCATGACTACCACCCCCGGCAAACGCTATACACCCTGAGCAAAGGCACGCGGGATGGTCCGGCAGCAGAATGACTGCGACGAGCAGGCCAAACGACAACGTCAAGTCTGGCCACCTTCCAACAGGCTGGTCGTCGGTCCTTGCCCGCTTGATTGCCTGACGCACAGGGGGTCACCAAAACAAAACACAAAGGGGGTGGTGGTAGTATCCGGGTAAGTAGATATCTCAACTCACCTTGTGGGGGACGCCCTAGGAGCGCCCAGCAGCGCCTGTGTCTCGTCGTCGCCCTGGTGGTAGCACTGGTTGTTGTTGTTGAGGCTGAAGCTGGGCTTGTACACGGCGAGGGGTCGTAGCCTACTGCGGGCGGGGGCGCCACCCTGGGCGCGCGTTCGCACCCGCAGCACATGGCTGTCCATGGGCTCTCACGTCGGCCAGGTCCTGGACACAGTCCTGGTGGTGCTCGCAGCACCATGACCTCATCCCCGCTGCCAGCTTCTGGCAGCACCACACCGTACTCCCGCGCTTCGCGAGGACACCACTACACCATAACGTCCAAAAAAAGAAGGTTCGTAAACTAGCTGCTACTAGGGACCTCCGAACGGAGAGCTGCAGTCGGAGCTAGGCAACGCGCTGGCTGGCGGGGCGGCGGGGCTTGTCGTCGTTGTTTTCGTCGTCGACGTCGTCATCCTCGTCGAAATCTGAGTCGAAGTCAGAGTCCAGCGGGTCGTCGTCGTTGGCGTAATCTGCAAATCGCTCAATACGGTTGTCCATGAAGTTCTGGAGACGCAGTGCACGCGGTTGGCGCTGCTGATATTTGGCGGCCTCACTGGCGTCCTCCTCGGCCATGGCGGCCGTCAGCAGCATGCGGAACAGGAGCAGGAGAAGTAGAAGCATGGTGAGGGCGCCAGTCTGCAAGATAAGAAAAGAAACAAAGAATTGTACTCTAAGTTACACTTAGTGATTATAATTATGCACAAAAAGTGCAACTGCCGTATCAACTACTTCCACAATGAAATTCTTTACCACGCCGGCTCCACGATTCTTGTTAGACTACATCGGACCTATCGGTATATGCAGTGGTATATAGTCCCAGGTACCAAACCAGCAAAACTGCGTTATGACTGCGTTAGATGTCCAATCTAAAATGCACCGATAATGTGCATATAGCGATGCGCCTAAGTCACAGAAAAATCGCACTTTAGATGGTACATATAATGCAATCATGATGATCCATTTATGCTGCCGGGGGTGTTGCGGGATTATGTATACACCCTCTTTAGACCCAACGGGCCATGGCGCCTTACGGGGTGCCCTGCGCCCGAACTGGAAAGAATCGTGCACACCAAGGATTTACGGGTGTTAACAAATATTGTCATATAGATAGCCGTATAAAACATGACATACATTTGGAACACGAAATCAATTTTGAGTAAACTCGTTCTTTAACTAAAATTTTCAACCTTATTGTGGTGGGATCATCCAGAAAGTACACGTCCGCCATTGCGAAACTGCTAAGTTCAGCTAATGAAAGCTCTCAATGTCAAACCAGAGGGAAGAAAGGACTTCTTAATACTTTTAAAAGAAGTCCTAATGCCTTTGAAAAGGAATTAACGTCCTTTTGGTCCTACCGCTCTCTTTCCACAGTATAGCGCCTGGTCGGTAGGCAACATCTTGCAGTAAGTGCATGCGTGCACTGCGGGGTAGCCTATCCCAAGTATTGCAGGCGCTGAGCTCCCGTAACTAAGCAAAAATGAATCTGAGGAAAAACGGACGTAGGCTACTTTCAGAACGATCCCTAAAAAGAACAAGAACTTTTCTCAGTCCAGTTTTAAACTCTTTTCGGCAGAGTGTTTCTTAACCTACATGGCTCGTGTAAACGGGGACCTTAGTGGTGGTGTTATTGGGGCATATTTTCCACTTGCGATATTTCCCAAACTAATGACCGTAGGCGAAGAATGGTGCATATTACTCAGTATCACGCCGACCTGTTGCTCAAAATGCTGTGACACACTACACGGTGTGTGTGTCACGTCGCACTCAACATGTTAAGAAGGAAATGCCTCATGCCCAACCATATTTTGACGTTGGATTTCTGACTATGGGACAGGAGATAAAACAAAATCTCTATGAGAATAGCTGAAATTGTTAAGAATAAACAAAATTGATCTATTCTCATGTGCTAGTAAACTCTGCTATTTGATTCTGACCGTCTTTAGGCACTTCCGGTATTTAGCATTCTCTCGTTTTATTTCCTGAAGTACAATCTGCCCAAGTCGCCCCATGCCCAATTCGCCCCAACACAGGTCGCCCCAGTGCTAACTCGCCCCAATTAAAATGAATTTTTGAATAGGTTTGCAGTGTTTTATTTAGAGGGATGGCCTTTTAACTGGGAGCTCGGTAGGTCTAATTTAGCCCGATTTGACTCCTGAATCACATCTGTAGCTCTTAATTCATAAAACGAATATTATGCGGTACTTTTCTCACAGTGCGTAGCGTAGAGAATCGACCCCTAGATCACGCATGTAGCTCAAAATACTCAAGCCAATAGTATGGGGTACCTTTCTCACGGTGCCCAATGGTACCCTACGAGTCAGGCAGCGTGAGACAAGTACCCAAGGGTCATTTTAAGCAATCCTACCGGTGTGTACGGTACGTCCCCTAGAACCATAGAATCAATTCCCATCAAACCGAGACCCGTTAAAGGTCATTGTGCCCTTAGAGGGTCAAAATAGCCCAAAATGTGACTAAATATTACCCAAACAGGTTTTATTTGGCAATTTTTTGCAGTGTGGGGCGGCCGAGGGGAAACGTGGCATAGTGATAGTGCCATTAAATTGTAATGGGGCGAGATTTTGAAAATTTTGCCGATTGAGGCGAGTTGGCAAAAACTTGCATCCGGAACTAGCCCTAAAATCGGGGCGAGTTGGCCTCGGGGAATGTTGTACCTGGGGCGAGTTAGCTGGGGCGAGTTAGCTGGGGCGAGATGTCCTGCACCCAGTCTTACCGTCCAGTAAAATTTTGACTCTCACTTATTACAGTATACGCTAGAGTAATTTCGAAGGGAGCACCGTATTCCCTTAAGTTGGGCCACCGGTGTTTCAAGGAATAACGTCCATCCAACTAAAGTACGAGCGGTTGGTGAGCGGTTGCACATTCCAAGATAGAAAAGTGCAGGAGACGAGAGGAAGTGTTGACTCAGCGCGATGTCCGCAAGTTGCTGATTCGGTGAGGATAGTGTTTCAATTCGGAGACAAGGATTGTGTAATCAAATAACATTTCTCTTTAGAGATGGGGTTTACTTGAGGTGGTCGGGGAATAAATTTGAACAACTTTAAAATCGTGACGACTCCATGCGTCCTCCGTACAAGTTAAATCTGTCATAGGAGTGAGCATGGTACGCACTCGACAATTAGCATGCACGGTAAAATCAACGTCTCATTTTGAGGGAGAAGGGAAACTTTGAGGGCCTTCCATGTTTGAGGAAAACTCCTCAAAAAATAAGGAAAACCCCCTTATTTTTTGGGGAAACCTCAAAATCTGAGGAGCCTTCCTCAAACCAAGGGAGTTACTCAAAGTTTTCCCTTTACCCTCAAAAAATGAGACTTTGTTTTTACCGTGTGCCTACGTGCACTTCCAAGGTTTATTGCACGTTTTACTTTACTGAATTCGTCCATCCCGCGTGAAACTTAAACAAATTATGTATTATGCCCTATTCCACACACTATGATTGTCGAGGTGATTACAACGCTACGCTTTCCACCGAGCCACAGAAAAGTCCATCCACTCCATCCACACCTAGGACCCACCCTACCTTTGTCACCCAAGTGGCCTAGAGCCTCAGACAGAAAGGAGGGGGAGCGGCCCCCGCCACATCACACCGTGCGAGAATCTTTCCCCCTTACTGCATAGAGTTTCGTTTTCCTTAATAAACACATTTCTGATTCTGAGAAGTTACGCTTTTTCAAGGGCGGTGCAGAACACTAACCTAAGCTAACCGCCGCAAGCCGCACGCCTCGTCCCGACAAACTCTGGCGCGCTGCCGACAGGACGCAGTGAGGACACGCGGCGAGGACGTCAGAGGCGGCAGCGAAAGGGTTGGATTTCAAATAGATCACGGGCAGTTTGTGTTAGAACCCTACCCCCTTCCAACACATAACCGGGCTCCCGGCGTTTTGCTCCGATAATGCAATAGTAAAGCGATGAAAGATTGAGAATGTTAATAACCATTGCATTTTCCCGTTCAGCCACTTCCAGTTAGGGGAGGGGACCGTCCGCAGAAGAAACTTGAGGTTGAATTACGCTACAGAGAAAGTGTTGTTCCGGAGGCACATACTAGTTGATAACTTCCAACTGCGCAACATGGAGTTGCTCACTAACAAGTGTTTATCGGTTGTGCACTCGTTTTATCAGTGTCAAAAACGCCCGTTGTGGATTTTCGTAGTGGTAATCCAGGTCTGAAGAAATCGACTAAAATATAACAAATTATTAATTTGAAACAAAAAGCGGAAAAAGGGCAGTCTTTGGGCTCAGAATCAGGTGGGTTATGTCGTGCTCTGAAACTAAGTCCATAGGCTTCTAGTCATTTTACGGTACAAGACCAAGCCGTCTCCCGACCACTCGTCCTTCAGTAGCGAAGACGCACGCGCGGCAAAAAAAAATAAAATAATAAAAAAATTGTCTGAGTTTTTGAGGTAAAAGGGAAAAACTGATAAACTTTTCGTGCGTGGGCCGACACGCAGACGAGCAAACTAGCATTACTACGAGTGCGACGGCCACGGAGGGCGTTACGAGCACGCACTGGACTGCTGGTCGTAGAATTCTCTCTTATCGGCCTGGTCAGGTAGTTAATGTTTTGCTAAGTGGAGTCGACAGTGCTGTTTTGCGCTAAGGTTTACGACCTCCGCGCTGATCTTCCGGTTGTAGGGTGTTGTGGTTGTGGAGGCGAGAAAGGAGGCCGACGACAGGGAGAGATAGAACGATTTGGGAAAGGAGGGGGTGATGAAAGGGCGGCGATGGTCACACCAGCATGCACCTCCTCTTATTGGACAAAATCCAAAGCGAACGGAAAATGCCACGAGACGGTCGCACTATACCCCGTTCATAACGTTCATAACCTCTCTCCCCTCCCACGTCTGCCGCTAAAAGTCAGGCTGAGTGCTACGGTACTCACTTTCGACCATCTATTCTGCTTAATTTTAATTCGAATATTTACCATTCGGAAAAATCTGCGCATTTTCTGCTTGGCAAAACTGTTCACTAACACAAAAGCGCCTCCAGGGACTTTTGACCCCCAAGAGAAGAAATAATAAAGTATAATCTCCTCATCGGCCACACATAGGTTTTTAAGGTGAGGCTTGGGTGAAATGGCTAAATCGGAAACCGACTATACGATCTCTTCAAAAAATTAGTATTTTGCTGCTTTTACCTTAAAAAAGACAGACATTTAATCGCCTGAAGATCCACCGAACGGTTTCCATATAAATAAATACGTTTTTACCAAAAAATCGGATTTTTGAGAGACTCAGTGCGCAACGGGTTTCGCTCATATGTATGCATTATATACCTTAAAAGATCCGCAACGAACTGACTTAGACTCGTATAGAGAGACATTCCTTGATTTACTTCACACTTAGATTGTAAACTCAACTTTACTGTTTTTCGGCTGATTTTGCCTAAATCTCACCCAAGCCTCACCTTAAGCGAGACAGCGGGCAAGGCCCCTTGCGGCTCGCGTGTGGTCCGGAACCGCCCAAAACGAAACAAAACATAACAAGGTGTCGGAGAGCACCTGGTTGGCGGCAGGTAGGACACTCTAAAAATCCAACGGTAGAACAGCCCTCACTTTTACAACGAAATTATGTCAAAATTCTTACTCCTGCAAGAGGGAATCCAAAGCCACAATAGGACGTTCCTACATACGGAAATTTGGTTCGACCGTTCACTGCAAATACTAAGATTTACACACAGATAAATTAAGTGTGCAACAGTGCAACTGCTTAATGCTTGTAAGTGTGTAACCGCTAGTTAACGATTGGCAAGTGTGCAACTCCGTAGTTTTACACTTGCAAGTGAGCAACTCCCCATTTAAGCACTTCCTACATACAGAGCGTTCAATCTAAAAATGTGCTCAACTGAGGAGTTGCACACTTGTAAGTATTTAACTTGCAGTTGCTCACTTAGTTTACCAGTCAGGTTTCTCAGGTTCTAGACTAGAGAGCGCAATTAGTGAATGAAATTATCTGTAGCGAATTATCTATAGCGAGATTTTTTTTTGTTTGTTTTTTTCACTTTTGCTTACTTTGACCGAGATTTCTCCAAGCTCGCCCTACCCGCATTTGGTTATAGGTAGGTCGGGTATCAGAGTGCTCTGATGGTTTGCGTAGTGTACGAAATATCTTTATAGTTTAGACCTTATAGTTAAAAAGGCATTCGACCTGCTGACGAAAAAAAGAAAGCAAACACATCACGAGGATTATTGTCTGATTTCCGAACTGACGAGCGCAGGTCGAGCAGGAGAGTCATGAAAAGTAGTACCATAAAAACAGACAAGGCGGCGTCCGCCTGGAGCAGAGACGCGGTGGTTATTTCGGCAGGCATCCTACTTCTCACTCGGCCAGCAGCATATCGGCGAATGACATTTATGGAAATAGCCGTGCACTCAGCTCACGACACTCCGGGTCCTCTGGACGGGCACCCTCACACGCTCGCCACGCCACACGAACTACTTAGGGACACTGTGAAAACAGAACAGCGAATCCTTGAAATCTCGAATAGCTTTTGAGGGGGTCGAGAACACAGCGTGCTATTTCGTAGCATTTCACGACCATATGTTATTTTGCGGCTGTTTTGGATTATTTCGGAGTATATCGCGGTATTTAAGGCTGGCACTTCGCTACTATTGCACGCCTCATGTTTTGTGTACTTTGCACGATTGCACATTTATTACGCGTGCAAGGTGTACGACCTACAAATGAATTCCATTCCTCATTAGTTTGTCATAGTCTACAAATAAGCCTTTGGTATGTTTCCAAAGTATTTTCTGATGAGGGGCGAAGTCTGTTGTTCCACACTACACACGACACGATCCTAAACACTATAAAAAAGAATCCCCCCCTTTCCTCCATCGAGACCCAGGTTAGTCCCCGCAAGGGCAAAGGCATTCCTTACCCGCCCCCTTTGTTAGGCACTAAGCGTGAACCAAAACAGGACACAGCAACATCAACAGATCAGCTGATCGCAGCAAAACAAGGAACATGGTTGAACGGAATAGGGGTAAACTGCAAGAAATTTAAAGTAGCAAATTGGTAAAGAGTAAGTCTAGTGGAAGCACTATATTTACCATATGAGAGGAGAGGGGGGG